TAAGTTTTGAATTAGTCGAATCGTTTGAAAGCTCTAAAGGAGTACTAGGTTTTAAGAAATCGGATGATAACCTATCATCTGAACTGGAGTTTATCTGAAGTATACCCGAGTTAACTGCTGGCTGAGTAGATAGCGTAGGTTGATTTTGTTGATTCCGTTGTTCAGATTTATTTTTCACCTGTGGATTATTAACACTGGACTTTGAACTCGTGGATGAAGATGGCCTCCTAGTACGATTTGATGATGAGGGACTTGATTTTTCTTGCGGTGGCGCTTGTTTAGCCAATCGACGTTGTACTTCCTTCCCTTGCCGAGTTTGATCAGTGTATTGAATTTTTAATGATCGAATTGCCTAAAAATTAAATAGTTAATAAGAAAATCTACGTAAAGGTAAATCGAATCAAATCGATATTACATTACCTCTGGATCAGACGTATAATTTATCGCCAAGGCAAATTGTTCTAAATGAAAATACAAAAATAAATTTGTTTTAAAAGAAAATCTGTATAATTCGAACTAGATATACATACCAGCGGCACGGAAATGAGCTTGCATCGCTTGTCCCCATTGTTCCTTTTCTTTTAATTCTTCTGCTGCATTTGCAAAAGCATGTGCCTTACGAGTATAAATAGGCAAATATATATTTAAAACAAGCTTTCTTCATGTTGGAGTTACAAGTGTCAAGTACAAACCGCATTAACCGGTGAATCTTCCATAATTTATTTGTTTCTTTTTAGGTTAACACTGGAAAAAATTGTTCCTAGAAAATATAAAAAACGGCGAGAATTTGATTCAACAAACCTGTACATAATAACTCCATAATTCACGTGTTAATTAAAATGTCGAATAACCATTTTTATTTCGTGTAACAATTAAAATAAATACGCGTACACCTTAAAAAGAAGGGTGATTCATAGGTATTTGTCAGTTTAATTTTTTTTTTTCTCTTTGCAAGTTATATTCATAAATCATTTCTTTGAACAAATAATGATAATGGAACGAATGTGTTCCTAAATTTCATTTATACGTTATCTGAAATCACTCAAAGTAAGTTTATTTTACATGGCTAAAAGAGTTGGCAATTTTATTCAACCAATTGTTGCAAGAGGAAACCGCACAAATAACATGGGAGACAATTTGTACTAGTTATTTCACGGGAATCCATAGATATCATTACTTATCACGGCGTAGCCGTGATGATGATGAGATCGAGGATGATCCGTGAAATAACTATTTTATCTCAGGGAGTTTCTAATTATAAGCTCAACCCATTTCACCTTGAAAAATATCATTAAAAAAATCAACGGCGTTAATTAGGAAACCATGAGATAACTCATTATATTTTATCGTCGATAAACCAGAAGGAACAAAACGTTAGATAGTTTTTTCTTGAGTAAGAATTTCAGAATCTCTTAAAAAACATTCAAAAAGTCATGACTTTGAAGAATATTGGCAATAAATAGAAGATACTACCGGAAAATCCAAGAATGAGTTATTGACTTGATTAATTAGGTTCCTTTTTAACTTACCGAAGCCAAATAGTAATGGGCCTAAATTAATTGAACAATGCACCTTTTTTTTTTTAAAAAAAAAATTATTTTAAATTTACTTTTGTCAACTTATGTCTAATTAATCATGGACATAATAATGGGAAGTTGTCCAGTTATACGTTAATTGAAATTGAATTCAAATTATACAAATTATAATTCTTTAGTAATTTTAAAATTGTTTTATGATAAAAAATAATAAATATAGCTATAGCACAACAAAATGAAAGTTTGTATAATTGTAATAAGATTCCAAACTTTCAAATAAATATCTATTTAATTAATTAAAGTACAATTCAAATATTATTGTAATAGATAGATATATATAAATATATATATATTTTTGACTAATATTAATCCTAAATATATACTTCTCAAAATTAGAATAAGCTAACCAAATCATTGGCTATTCCATTATTTTGATGATTAGTCGATGATGATTGAGGTGGTGTAGATAGATCATTATTACTTATACTGCTATTATCAAATAAATCCAATAAATCATCTACGTTGGCAGTGGCACTAGTTGATTTAGATGAAGATGCAGGGGGCGTACTAGAAGTTGGGGTGGAATTATCGTTAAAATCAAGATCTAATAAGTTCTCGATATTAGTTTTAACTTGAGCTTGAATTGGTGATTCTCGAGAAGCTTCCTCTTGCTCCCTATAAATATAACAATAAATAAATTATATACATTGCAAAACATAAAGACGTATTATAAATATAAAAATAGTCTTTCATACTCGATAGCTCGTCTTTGTACGGCATCTGCTCCAAATCTTCCTCTACCAAGGAATGTTTCGGGAGGCTTATGATACACACTCGCAAGAGATGAAATATTACTAATAAGTTCTTCCAAAAGTGGCCCGTTCAAAGCATTACCCTCTATAGATATTACTGGTTTATCTGACAACACAACAGCCTGTATAAGAAAAAGATAATTAAAAAAAAAATAATATGCGATTTTCAAGGAGTGAAAATAATAGCAGCTTTACCTTAGCAGCCTGGGGATCTGTTGAAAGTAACCTCCAATAAACATATGCCCGATCTCGAATATCTGGATTATCACATTCTGATGTGGCAATTTGTAGCACCCGCTGAACAACATTTTGTGTTTCCTGCGGCTTTTTAAGGAACAGTTTAACAGTCGCAGTAACTAATTGTAATTGAACCTGTCCAATCAACGAAAAAAAGTGAATAAAAAAGAAATAAATAATCCTGTTAACATAAATAAATATTAATGAAACAATCTTTTGTTCACATATTATTTATGTCATTAAAATTTATGATTAGAATTTAAACTTTTCAGTTTAAGGATTTAATACCTGGGAATTTTCATCTCTGAACGTATCTAAAAACGTAACAATTAATTCGTCTGCATTTTCAATCCTCTCGGCGTATTCTCCTATGATCCAAATAAGTGACGCTTTGGCTTCTGGTTCATCCAAAGCATCTAGATTCTGACATAATGCAGGGATAATTCCTTCGTATTTGTTTGGATATTTTCGGAAAATATCCTATATATAAAAAGAGATGACTAAAATGAATAATTATTTGATGAAACATAAGAAAGGATGTCATCAAAAGCAAACCTTAATAACAATGATAGCCTCCTGAACTACATAATTCACTTTGGTATTAATTAAATCCAATAAAACATTAACACATCTTTCAGACGCTTCATCAATCTTTATTGCACATTGTCCAATTGCACGAACAGATTTTCTAACGAAGTCCACATCAACTTCAGATGCATATCTAAAATCGATTTATTTTAATACACAATTATTTCAGGTGATCATTTAATGTACCGCTTATTACAACTTACTCTTTTAGTTCTGATAAAAGTTGATCCACATTTTTGTCGTTAGCTAATTTGATCATAATTTCAAGCTTTTCTAATTTCACGTACGGTGGATCATTATATTTACAAAAGAAAACTCTCATTTCGTTTTGCAAAATATCGGAACGTTTTTGTAAAATAAGATTAATATTTCGTAGTGCAACGTATTGGACTTCTGGTGCAGAAGCTAATAAAGTAACTAAAATATATCATATGTTAAATTTTTTTCTTTTTTAACAATAAACAATAAACAACAATATTAATTTTTTATTTTATTATATATATACCTAGTGGTGGTGCCATTTTCCTAACTAGTTGACGTATCATTTCATCATTTTTGATAATCCTCATGTAAATCATTATCACCTGTTCCAAAATATAATTCTGCCTGTTAACCTCCTAATATTATTATTTAGAGGGAGTTTACCCCTTGAAGAAATATGAAACCTCACTATTTTATCACCTTAATTGCGGATAATACTACGCTGCCATTAACATGTTGAAATTGTGGAATTACACGTTCAACAATATGTTCAGCCTCTTTTGAGTCTGAAGGTCGATAATCCCCCAATGCTGTTAGAATTGCTATACGACCCCATCTGCACACAAAATGTATGTTAGAAAATAAGATTACAATCCATATGAAATGATAATTTTCTTAATAATTATGATAATATCACGCCTTACTCTGTGCATTCATTTAACGCTACCAAAAGTTTTGTAAGTGTTGATGGATTAATTATAAAAATGTCTTTTGTCGTAGATGTTTCGTTTATTTCTGCAAGTGCTGTTACAGCATTTGCTACTACCTTAAAATAGAAATAAATAATGAGTAAGTAACGTTATATTTTTTCATTACCACTATATATTAGAACTATAAGAGTATATACCATAGGATTCGCGTCTGAAACCATATCCTGCAAAACAGCAACAAATCCATTTTCAATGGCTAATTCTGGGTTTAATTCATACAACTTTGCTACACATATTGCAGCAGTTTTTCGAACATAGGGATTATCGTCCTACGATAATCAAGATTATATCTTTTTAAAAAAATGAAGAACCAATTAATGAATAAATGAACAAAAGTAATTTACTATTACTTTTAAACTTTTCCTTAATGGTTCACAGAGATAATCAATTATCTTCTCTACACGAATACATCCCATAGTACGAATAGCCAACGCCCTTATCAATGGATTGGGATCATCAGTATCCTGTTATAATGAATAAATTATAATTATAAAAAAAGTCATATGAAATATATAAATTTCACTATAAATATCTTACCTTTACAAAAGTATTGACCGCTAAAATTACCAATTCGGGTTGAGTTTTAGCGTAATTCATTAAATACAAATATACCAATTTCTTTTGCTCTAAATCCTCAGTTTGCATATTTTTCAGAACATCCGGAAATAATCCCGAAACATCTTTTCCAACTGTCATATTTGCAATGACTTTTTTAATTGCATCTTTTCGACGATCACGATATTCACTATTAAGGTCAGCACGAAGTTCATAATTTTCGCCTGAAAGAAAAAAAAATTAAAAGAAACAAAAATTTAGATAAGGAATTAATTAAGCCGAGATTATTCACGAAAATCGTAATAAATTTATAATATTAAAACGTTTTTTTGCCAGAAAGCCACCATGCTTTTGTGAGGTTCAATAATTAAGGACTCGAATAGTTCAAAAGAGGTGTCGAAAAACAATTTAATTTAAGATATATTTTGGATCAAAACCTGGTTTCAAAGAATTCTCATCGTTCAATAAACTGCTATAGATGTTTTGTTTATTTATTACTAGATAAAGGCTCACCTTTCTTTGTTGTTGCAAAGAATTTTGGCTTGGTAACTCGAAAATCTGACATTATATTTTTGAAAATGGAAAAAAGAGCGTGTTCGGTTTGTGAACCAGATGATGATTGAGGTCAATAAACGGATTTTCACAATATATTGCCATTTTGGGCTGACTGTCACCTGACAACTTTTCCTTTTTTAAAAAAACTTTTCTCAAATTCAATGATTAATTAAAATGGGTAAAAAACCATTCATCGATCGTAAGAATGCAAGGCATTTTCATTTAGTTCATAGATCACAAAAAGATCCTTTAATAAGCGATCATGAAGCTTCTTCAAGAGTATTAGTTGAAGTTGTTCCAACTAACTTGAGGGTAATCAGTATTCAAATAATTTTTTTTTTTTTTAGTTCCTTATGAAAAAGAAAGAATTTTCGAAAAATTACACATATATATATATATATAAAAATGATATTCATGAATGTATATTATTTTTAAATTTAAAGGTTTAAAAGTTAACCTTTATGAATAATGACTTGAAATAAAATTTAGGGAAAAAACAAACAAATTGAATATAATGATATTGATGATATTGATGATCAACAAAGAAAAGATGAAATTGAAAGGTTTCTTTCTTTTTCACTTTTTTATTTTCTTCTATATACTTAAATAATAATTACTTTTTTTTTTTTTGTCTGATTTTGATGAAATAAAAGTCGTGTTGGAAAAGCAGCATTGTACGGAATACATTTTGATGATACAGAATATAATTATCTCCAACATTTAAAACCAATTGGTGAAAATGAAGGTGGTGCAATATTTATTGAAGCTCCAAAAAGAGAAAAGAGAGAAAAGAAGAAAGGTGGAAATATTGAATTAAAAAAGGGTGATGATGAATTAGAAGATAATAAAGTAAGATAACATTTATTTAATTTAAAAAGGATTTGAATTGTTAAGATTATGATGATATTATGAGAGACATTGATATTTTTTTTTCAAATATATGAAAGGTTATATTTAACCAATTGTTCCTACTGAGTCATACGAATATCTATTAGCAAATTTTAAATGAATACTTTTATTCTAAATTCTAATATATTTATTTGGGATATATAAGGATGCATCGTCAACTTCTAAGAAAGACCGAAAAGTTAGGATATTACTTCCAGAAGAAGTATTACCATCAAAGGAAGAATTGCCTGTGGGGCTGTTAAATCAATCAGCAATCCCTGAAGGTATAATATAATTAATTTGCACAACTATTCGAATTTATCCTAATAATATACATTAATTTTACAGATATACAGGGATTTCTGCCTGATATGGATCCAAGACTTCGAGAAACGTTAGAAGCGCTTGAAGATGATGAATATGTGGAAAATGATTTGGATGATGAATTCTTTTCAGCATTAAATGCCGAAAACAACGAATTTTATGAAGAACAAGAGGAGGATTTCGAACCTGAAGAAGAAATTGAAAATTGGGAATCGGAGTTTAAAAAATTTAAAAATCGAATAAAGAAGAGCGAAGATGAAGATGATTATTATGAGGATGATAAGAGATCAAGAACTACTGGTGGTTATTCAATGACGAGTTCTATTATGTTTAGAAATGATAAACTTCGATTATTAGATGAACAATTCGAAAAGGTAAAAGAATATTTAAATTTAATTTTTTTTTTTAATATGATCTAATGCTTTTTATTGTGATAAAAGATTGAAAAGGAATATACTGAGGTTGAAGAAGATATAGAATCCGATGATAAATCAACGTCTTCCTCACAAATACGTCAAGATTTCTCGCAAATTCTTGATGAATTTCTTGATAAGTATGAAATTAGTGGTTGTAAAATTGTACAAAAATTGGAAGGTGATAATGTACAAGATCAATTAGAAACCGTAAGAAGAAGTTTAGGAAAAATTAATTTAAATGATGGAGTCAGTCAAGATAATATAATAAATGAAAAAGATGGCTCGGGTAGTGATAAAAGTGAAAATAATAGATCTAAAAATCAAAAGAAAAGTAGAGATAGACTGGTACAAGTTGAAAGCATAAAAAAAGAAGCCTGGGATTGTCAATCTATTTTGAGTAAGCAAAAAAGGATAGATTTTTTCTTTTTATTGTATAAAGTAAAGATTTTTAAATTTTTTGATAAATTTCTTTTTCTTTAGGTACATATTCGAATTTCGAAAATCATCCTATTCTAATTAGAGAAATACCTCATCAAAAGATTAATATCAGTCAAAAGTCTGGTTTACCTGTATTGGAGTCGTCCGTTGAAAATAAAGAGAAGGATAATGATGAAGAGGGAATAAAGATCAAGATGGACGAAAAGGATCAAATAAAAGGTTAGCCAATAATCTATTTTGAATATCTCACTATTCAAATCATTCAATTTTATAAAAATTGTTATCTTTTTAACATTAAAGTGAATATCGGTGCAGCTAGATCAAAAAATGAATCTAAAGAAGAAAAGAAATTACGTAAGCAGATTAATAAGGATGAAAAGAAGGTATATATATAGTCAATGACATTTTTTAAAAAATTTTAATCTAGGTCATATCACGAATAATAATTTTTAAAATTTTTTTTTTAAAAAGAATCGTCGAGTTGAGAAGAAGTCGCTTAAAAGAGCTTTTGCTAAAGAACGCACGAAACAAAACAAAATTTCACATGATCTATCACAAAATCATTCTGGCGCTATCCATTTGGATTAATCGTGCTCAATTTATGAAACCAGTTATAATTTTATTAATTTAAATAAGTTAATCTCAGCATTATCTTGATAAATAAGAATAAATTATAATTGTCAAAATAATTATTTGTTTGCAAGTTCTTGTCCAATCTTGTAATTCAAAATCTGAAATATAAAAGAACCAATGAATATTGATAAGTCTCTAACCAATTAAAGATATAATAAAGAACTGCCAAATATGAATCTAACCTTGTCCCAGTCTAGTTTGTGCCGCGTCAATGGAAGGGCACGTCTCAAACTTTTGAAGGTATTTTCAGATAATTCAATATATGATTCATTCAAAGCTGTTTGATATTCATTCTCCGCTTTTCCAATTAATCTAACGTATGCAGCAGCGGCGGCAGATGGATTCTATAAACCCTTACATCATTAATTAATTATTAAATAAAAAATAAATAAATAACAATTATTTAAATTGATTTACCTCGACAGTTGTTGAAGTTGATACTTCGATGTCTTTGTTGGAATTCAATTGAACATTTCCGTCTTCATAATAATGTACGTTCACCTTCAAACTTCCCTTTAATTCACCAGATTCCGGCTTTACAACCCACGTTGAGCGCCATCGTCCATTCCTATCAATTATGTGTGAATTTAAATGATCTTTTCGAAAGGAATGAATTTCAAGAAATAAACACTTACCAAAAATTAAATGAATTGTATTTATTATCCACGATAGCAATTGTTATTGTCTCATCTTCGGTAGAATAAACAGTTGATACTCCATTCGGATAATGGTCTTTAACGTAATCTGTAATCGCAGCTTCTACAGCACTTCTAAGCGGTTCTGTCGTTTCATCCGGAGGATGTGGTTCGATAACTCTCGTAATCTTTATAAGTTCGAAATAACGTATTGTTCAATATATTTTATAATACCCACTAAATATTTATAGAATTAGCAGAATTTAACTTTACTTTACGCAAATGATCAAACTCGAAAACTTGGCGAGATTTCGGATCGACATATGAATCAACTTTATCTTTGATTTGGCCAAACTTGGATAATATAACCTAAAATTACAATAAATCAATTGATTCTATTATCAATTAACTTTTAATAAAGTAATTTATATAAGTTGATGATATTACTTCTTCATCGTCAATTTTTACAGTGGTATATTGCTCGGTATTGTATTCCCGTAAGGCACCCAAGATTCCAACTTGAAAAGCGGCATCATCAGCCATCAAAACACGAACATCTAAAAAAAAAATAAAAAAAAAAAAAAAGAATGATTTGGTTAAAATACTAAACATTTAGGAAACAGAAAACGGAAGTTTGCTATCTCTTGTTTTCTTTGTAGATACCACAGGCGCTTATTTAACTAACGGAAACCTACCATTGAAAACGTCATTTACTTCTCCGGGTGGACTATCAAGCAAGAATTTAGAGACAATTTTAAGTTTGTTTTCAGTGCTAAAAGGAGCATCCATGTTTGAAATATTTAGACTCTGAAAAGAGAATTTAATAGAATGTGACAAGATCTATTTATTATCACTTTATTCGATGTGTGATATCAAAGCTAAAAAATCTCGGAAATTTCCATATCCGTCTGCGCCATCCACCCCCCTGAAAAATCCTAGAAGAAAATATGCAGCCAATAGGAAAAAAAATTGTGTAAGAATTATCAGGCCAAATGTTGCTTTTTTTTTTTTACAAGTATGAAAAAGTAATTCAATTCATCCAATTTACAAAATGTTATTTAATTTTTATAAAAGTTTTTTTAATACTATTATATGAATGTTTTGTAATAGAAAGATTTTTTTTGGAGTTTTCTCCCTTTCTATTACAAAATATCATATATAAATTTCTAAAAAATAATATGAAATTAAAATCCAAAAAAAAAATAATATATAAAAATTTTTAAAATCTCATAAGACAATAACAAAATATTTTTTTACTTTTTTATAATAATAGTTAAGAATAGTTACTTTAAGTATGTATATATTGTAAAATATCATAAGTAAAATATATTAACATTTATTTTAATTTTCTTTTAACTAATATTTTCTATTATACTTTAACTGTAATTTATTTCTCAATCTATAGTGTTAATTGCTAAAGGTTATTAAAGTTTAATAATAAGAAAAATATAATAATTTATAAATAAAAATGATAATTTTATTTGATATTTTTTTATCATATATATTTACTTTAATAAAAAAAATAAATATTACTTATATTATAAATAGACTTTATTACAATTATAAATAATATTACATAATAATTTATTATAATTTATATTAATATTTTATTTTATTTAATTATTATATTTACAATAACTTTTTGTTTAAGTTGTAAATTATCTCTTACAAATATTAAGTAAAGTGAGATACCACCATATAATATGATTATATTATATAATGGTATCTTACTTATTTTAGATTATATTATCACCATATGAGGCCTTTGCAATAGAAAGGGAGGAAACTCAAAAAAAAATAAAAAATGAGTTAATAATAAATCTAAACAAA